GGAAAAAAGTTCATTTAATGTTATAAAAATAGATTTTTTCAGGATACCATTAGAGATACCATTCAGGATACCCATGTTTTCCAATCTGGGCCATGTAATTAAGAATAGTTCTTGATACATCCATGGTCCAACGGTTTTTGGTTACCATGGACCATCGCCAAGCCGCGAAGACCGAGGCCGCCTGGTCCATTCGAGAGGAGCGCATTCGGCGGAAGAACCAGGCGTGGCTCAAGGCGGTTCGAAGGCCCAGTTTGTTTCGCCCCCGCTGGGCGATGGAGAGGTGCGGTTAAATCACCGGCAGTTGGGGATTTTTTTGTTGGGATCATTTTTGTTGGGATATGTAAATCTAACAAAAGTATCTAATATGATAAATATAAATGTGTATATATATATATATATGATATATGATATATATATATATCATATATATGAGTATGATACAGTATGATTCTGGTGGTCTTTTAACTGACCAAAATATACGTCGTGGATTTCACTCACTCAAAAGTCGCCTAGCTTCATGGCGATGAACTCATAGGATTAACCATTTTCTGAGCATGGATAGATGGATAGCCTCGGGTAGGCAAACAATGGGAATATCATGGGACAATGGTGATTCAATGGTGATTTAATGAGTTTTAATGGGTTTCAATGGGATTTAATGGTGATACCCTCTGGTAAACAAACAGTTTGCTATTGAAAATGGCCTAGTCGAAATCGTTGATTTACCCAGCTATAAAGTGGTGATTTTCCAGTTCGTTATGTACACGTTTACCAGAGGGTAAATGTTCCTGCAACAAGCATGACGTTCCCCATGATATTGATGACTATACTGAACATATTAATTTTCTATGTCCCTTTCTTCGATGGGCCACGGGATTAGCCATTCCTGATTAGTAAGCTATTAACTATATCCCAATTACAGGCCATTGATTATCATTATATCCATGAAATCCACTATCTATCCCAATTATAGCACAGTGGATTATAATTTATTAGTGGTTATCATTATGTCCCAATTATCATTGACTATATCAGACTATATCAATAAATCCCAATAGTGGACTAATCCACTGTCATATAGTCCATTCATTAGTCCCAATTATTTGTATCCCAATTATCATTGACTAACAAATGGCTAATAAGTAGGATATACAATATCCCAATTATAGATCATTAGTCCCAATTATTTAAATCCCAATTATCATTGACTAATAAATGGACTAAAAAATGGACTACATCCCATTGCTATTTATATCCACTAACATGGCCATGGAGTTACTTGATCCAATTATTTACCATCTGGTTAACATAGCCATGGAAAATCACCATGCTATTGAGAACGGTAAACCCAGGTAAACCATCTATTTCTATGGGCCATCGAAAAACCATGGCTATGTGGTTAACATAGCCATGGAAAATCACCATGCTATTAAGAACGGTAAACCCAGGTAAACCATCTATTTCGATTGGGGCCATCGAAAAACCATGGCGAACTGTAACAGTCATAACCAGATGGTAAACCTCCATTTTCCTATGGTTTTCCTATGATTTTCCCATTTTCCTGTAGTTTTCCTATGGTTTACCTATGGTATATCCCATGGGCGTTTCGTAACTCCATGGCGGGGCGCCCAGGTCCTAGAGGTGAAAGCCGAGCGACTCCGCATGGCCAAGATGATGCAGGCTTGCCACAGCGGATGGTGCCCCCCAGTGATGTTTGTTGGTTTATAAACCCCATTAAGTATAGTTATATCTGCCATAAACCATAGTTATGGATATTATAATCACTGGGTTGGTTTAAGGGAAAATTTACAGGAAACCCCCATATTTAATGGTAAAAACCATGGTTTCCGGTTAAGATTTTCCCTTAAACCAACCCAGTGATATAATGGATCGTAAATATTTATTGATCAGAAAAATCGGGAAAGTCACAAAACACTGTAAATTGCAGTATATTTCTATTTATTGATAATAATAGTGATGATAAAAAAAATCAGAAGAAAACAATAATAGAAAATATTGATAATATCGATGATGTTTATAATATTGATCATGATCCATGATAATGGATATTATAGTGGATAATGTTAAAAACATGAGCCATTAAATATGTTATCAAAGATCTTATCAATGTGACTAAATCAACCCATGTCATTTCATGACATTTTTCATTATGGACCTTTTCAACGGGACTGTTTCCATTACCGGAAGAATGGGATGATTTCCCAGGCGGCCTTCACTTTCCAAATTGTGACTGGGTCCTATCCAAGAGATGGGATGGCCATACCAGAGCTCCTCAGTCCTTGCTGAAACATGACTTTTACCCTCTGGTTATTTAACATAGCCATGGTATAGATGGCCAATTTATAGATGGTTTCTTATTAATTTAGTAGCATGGTGATTTTCCATGGCTATGTTAAATAGCCAGAGGGTAATTGGACGGGAAAATGGGAAAATACCTCCTTTTCAATGGGATGATTTCCCAGGCCTTCACTTTCACTGGGTCGATGGGGATGGCCAGATTGCCATACCGGATGAGGGGAAAATGATCACGAAACCTCCAGAATTGGGGGAGTTTTTGTTTTGGTTCCTCTATGTTTCCTCAACCAGTTCAATGCCACTTGGTTGAAAATTCGTGGGCTGAAGCCCAGTGTACGGTATGTTTTTGAAGGGGAAGTTTGTGTAACCCTGATGGACAGAGTGTCGCAACAACCGGACCCTTGGACGCAGGAGCGCAACCAGGAGTACTTGAACCTCTTGCACAGTCTTCGTCAGCCCATCTTTCAGGCTGACGGTTTTCGATGCACTCAATTGAAATGCCATTGTCTGAAAATAGTGTGCCCTCTGGTAAACTAACATAACTACGGAAAATCACCATTTTTATCCATGTTTAATGGGTAAATCAACTATTTCGACTGGGCCATGGCTTCAATAGCTATGCTATGACATAACCAGGCCGGGTACCCTAAAATCCAATGGCCTTGGCCAGGCACAGCTGAAACGGATGGAAGAGCGGAAACAGGTGCGCCGATAAGTCGGGTGTCGTCTTTGGTGGGGAACAAAAGCGTTGCTTGGTTCTCTAGTAGGAATTGAATCAGGATCTATAGGGGAGTTAACCATCAAAAATATGGAGATCTGATTCATGAATGATTGGTGGTGATTGGTTCCGACAGGGGTTGTACTTCCCAACAACTTGGGTGTTCTGGTCCGTTATCATAATCCATGAGCTGGTAATCTCCATTAAACAATCATTATTTGGGGACTTTCCGACAGATGTTTGACACCTGCTTAGATTGGTGAACAGCTGAGGCTTGTGATGAGAAATACGCATGTTTTGATTAGAGTCTAAAATGAACATATTCTTAACCATGACCCTTTGGCTAAGAAATGTGCTCCAAACTAGGTTTCTTAATCCCACCAACTTCCAGTAACAGTTCAACCAAATTATCCCCTCTGAGCTCCAGCACCAGCTTTATATCCCTATATTCCCCTGTATGCAGCTTCAAAACGGAATACGGGAATACACAACGGGAACACCGATGTTTGATGATTTTAATACGTACTTTGGCAAAAACATGTTCGCTGCAACCTGGGCGTTTGCCCGGAGTTGATGTCCCGCAATCAACGTAGTTCAGAGGGGGTGGCTAATTTTGATCCCTCATGAAGATAAAGTTGATGTTGTTAGCCCGTTCAGCATATTGTTCTGAGGAGGTGGCGAATTTTGATCCCTCATGGAGATAAAGTTGATGTTGTTAGCCCGTTCAGCATATTGGTCATAGGGGGTGGCGGATTTTGATCCCTCATGATGATCAGGTGATATTGTTTCCTCATGAAGATAACTGTATTCAAGGTATCTTTCGCATGCCACCGTGGCCTAATTTTCCCCCTTGGCCTTGCTTGGATTCGCAACTTCCCAGTAACACAGAATTGTCTCTGTTATGTCACAATGATGAGTCTGGGCGAACGTTAAGGTTGCGGACAACATGTTTTCCCGATATTGAGTCTAAGTAATTTACATTCCCTCGAAAATTAGAGTCCACTTTCTTTGCTTGATACAATTTCTTAACACAGTCGCCGACCGTAGAGCATGTCCAATCATGGAACCCTGGTAATCATGACAGCAGCCGAGTGCATCATCTACATCCCAAGCACTGCCCGAGCGAACAGCAGTTCATCAATGAATTGACCATTCTTGTTTGGTTGGTGGTTTGGAACATGAATTTTATTTTTCAATATATTGGGAATAATAATCCCAACTGACTTACATTTTTTTCAGAGGGATTGAAACCACCAACCAGTTGTTCATTGACACAACCTGATTCCAGTGTTCATTCCAGTGTTCGCACACTATTCAAAGATGACATGAGATCCATCCAGATGGCTTGACATCCTGTCAGGCAGCAGAGGCTATTGCTCAATCCACAGCAGCGTGGGGAAATCTCAGCTGAGTTGCAAGACAGATAAGACAGGCCCTGGAAGACCCCATCAAGCTTCCTGCTGAGGTATCATGAGAAGAGAGCTGTGCCTAAGAAGGTGAAAAAGAAGGGCAAGCTCCAGTCTCAGCAGTGAGTCTGGCAGTGTCATTCTGGGTCCAACTTTTTCGGGGCATTTTTGGCTGTCCGTTAAACCCCGCAAGTATTGGACATACACATGTTCCGAAAAGGGTAGATGGCATCTAAAAAACTGGTAGGGTGCAACACAACACGGTTCCATGAATGCAACTGCAACAACCATGCTGACCATCCGCGGAGCCAAGGAATGCACTAAAGGATGAAGCCGGAAAGGCGCGTCATGACAAACTGCAGTTTTCCGTCGGATAACAGTTTGTAACTCGAAGCTCATGATTGAGAAATCTCGAAAAATTGGCCTTCCCATAGTTGTTTATGCAGACATAGAGACAGCGCCCAGGAAGAGAGAGAGAGTGAGTGAGTGAGTGAGTGAGTGATTCATGTTAGTAGGAGTACTAGATCACCCATGATATGTACCTTCACAAATATTGAGAGATGCCATCACAGGAGAAGCGCGGAGGGAAGAAGGACGATGGCAAGGACAACAGCACCGGTTTTTGAGAATCTTTAGCCATCCAATCTATCAATCTATCCCGGACCATCCCCTTAAAATGACCTGTCAGCTTGGTAAATTATGAAATTCAGCCAGATTAATGTCACGGATGTCACATCAGGAAGCCAGATTAATTGTGAAGGAAAATCTGAGGTCCTGCTGTGAGGGGTCAAGAATTACCAGCTGCGAAGGAGAATTTTGGATGCTTTGGATGATGCATCCTATTCTGCTTGGAAAAACCAGCCATCAATATGCAGTATTCAGGTACTGTAGTAATCTATCTTGGACATTGATTGACTTCAGACCTGTCCATCACCAGTCACCAGGAAATTCTCGGTCTCGTGTCCGACTCGTTCGACATGGAAAATCCTGGGACTCGTAGTAAAATTCACAAAGATCCCACGAAAATCCATGGGGAATTGCTGTGTACCCGAGAGCCTGGGGTTATGTACGGTATGTACGATCACTGGAAAAATGCCAAACCCACATTGATCTTCGACAGGAGGGCAGCAAGTCTGACACGGACAAGCTACTGGATGCCGTCGAAGCCAAGATGAGGGTCGGGGGAACTCAGGCACAGTTCGTGGTTCATCAAGCTTCATCAATAAATTCGGGACTACAAACGGGGAAACATATCCTGCTTGGATTTTTGGATATCGAAGATTCTGAGTCAACCTTTGTTTGTGGAGATTGGTGAATGTCAAACCATGGGGAGAGGAAATGTTGCCCGCCAAAATTGCCTTGGTTATCATATTTAAGATTATCCAGGGGTTGAAGAAATCTTCCAGAAGCGAATGGATTATATAGATTTATATACTGTAGTAGGTTTGGTGGAGGCAAGTTGTAAGACAATAGTCAAATATATATATAATATATATATATATATATGGTTGATTTCTAAACATTGACTCTGGACTTAGGGGAAGATCATCCAAGGCCCCTTCTTTGGCGGACAGGAGGACATCTAATCATCCAGGCCATCCCAGAGTTTCAGGACACAACGAGTCCTTTCCGAAGCCAGACTTCCTAGGCACTGTATATTGTGTGACATAACAAGAAACGAGGGGATGCGTTATTCCCATGAATAGGCCCATTGTATGCAGTATACTAGTATACATTACAGTATATTGATGATGTATAACTAGACCATCATATAGCCACTACGAACATATATATATATACACATAACTTGGGGACCGGTACCCTTTTTGAAGCCTCTCTTAGGCCGAAATGGAAGAGCAGCAGCGTCGTGCCAAGTCGACCACTGAGACGACTCAGCTGCTGCTGGGTGTCCGCTGATGTTCCAGCCCACCCCAGGTTCGAACGGCTCCGGGACAAGCGAATCAAAGAACTGGAAGAGGTGGGGATGGGAACGATGGGAACGGGGAACGGCGCCTGGGTATGAGTTATACCATGTTATACCATGTTATACCTTGTTATACCATGTTATACACCGAATAAATCTCGAGTGGCAATACCTTCCTATTGTACTATGCTGCCGCTTCAGCATTGTTGGATGTTGGGAAGTATCCAGATTGTAGGAATTACCCATATCATCATAATCCTGGTAAACCATCAATTATTCATATATACCATTCTAATCACCAATCAACAATCTGAATAAAGCAGTTCATATTGCTTATCATCATATTACTTAATAATATTAACCATCAATTATTAATATATATATATATCATTATTATCATAATTATCATATTAACCATCATTATTACCATAATTCATGGTATAACATGGTATAACAGTACTATAACTCATTATCAATTATGAATTTATATCATTATTAATTATAAATCTGACGTAAGGTTCCCCACGTTTTGGCTCCGCCATGGCGTACTCCCCCTTCGCCCGTTTTTCGGCCGGGGAGGTTCGTGTGCAGAAGTGGAACGCCCACATGGCGGCAGCGACCTTGAGATGTCAAGCGATGAGGTAATTGGCCCATCATATCACTGTATATCACATGGGTATGGATCAATACCTATAAAAATACCATTACTATAGTGGGATGAACATCCATTTTATCCCAGCTATTTTGATGTGAACTACAGAGGTACAAGGTTTTGACACACTGCCACATGTGTTTGATGGTTGAAACCCCTATAAAGATGATAAATGATGCTTATATATCATATGAAATATCTCCCAACGATGTTCTTCTACCATGAAGAATCGGCATGTCAAGCAGCAACATTCGCAGATCATGTTCCCTTTGGAAGTTGGAGGGCCAACCACTCAGTTTCAGGAAGTGAGAGAAGCCTATCGCAAGAAGATGTTTGAAGAGGAGCAGAAGGCAGGTGAGCAATGGATGTTGAAAGAACACCCCATGGGCAGCTAGGCATAAATACGGTGCCGGAACCAACAGGAATTAAAAGGTTCACCACCAAAATAAAAAGTGGTTTAGTTTTACTCCAAAACGTTGGTTAAGTATTGTGGGTTACAAATAGTACCACAGTAGTACCAATTCAAGGGAGATGTGTCACTGCGGACCCTTTCTTTACCCGTTGTGTTGTGACCCAACAATCCTCTAAGTGGATATCCGCATGACAAAAACAGGTGGGTCCCCAGGTTGTCAAATTGTGGATACATGTTGCTAGTTGAAAATGTTCATCTCAGAAATTCTGAGAGGTTAGCCCTTCAATGTACATATATGATCATGTATGATATACATACATTTGTGGGGTTTACCCTCTGGTAATTTAACATAGCTATTGAACATGACCATTTATAGTGGATTTTTCCATTGAAAATGGTGGATCTTTCCATAGTTATGTTAGTTTACCAGATGTTAGTTTACCAGAGGGTATAACAGTTCATATCCGCCCAGCAAGCACATCCCATGCAGCGGCGCGGCGCGCATGTTTTTTCAGGCCAACCAACGGCGGCTCGTGCAGAAGGATAAGGAGGCTGCCGAAAAATCCTGGTCCTTGATGGCTGGTCAGTGAGTTAAGCACCGAAAATGGATCATCATCCAGAAACGGTACATAGCTATTGAAAATGGTGATTTATAGTGGATTTACCCATTGAAAATGGTGGATCTTTCATGAATTACCCTCTGGTAATGACTAACGTAGCTATTGAAAATGGCCCATAGAAATAGTGGATTTACCCATTAATAATGGTGATTTTCCATAGCTACGTTAGTTTACCAGAGGGTATCAGCCAGAAACGGTGATTCATGGTGACATCAACCCGGGTTACACCGGGTCTTATTGGGACAGACTGGGCTAATCCAACATGGAGAACAATCACCTATAATTAGATTTCTTGTATTGATATTCCATTGCCAGCATTAAAACATATTAAAACTACTAGTTAACAGTTGACCGGATGAAATTATGAGGTTTATGGGCTCCCAGGAAGAATTGAGATGTCCCGATGGTATACTCTTAGATTTACAACCCCGTTCACAGCTGGTAGCGCGGCATCACTATAATGGTTTCCAAATAGATTGGAGTCGATTTCCATAGTTATATAGTTGTGATATGGTAATCCTTGGGGTTGCTACTTCGGTCATTTTATTCTCAGTCTTGGTTCAATGTGAGCTCCAAAACCACAGAAATCCAGCCTCTTAGATCAGATGATGCATGATAATGCATGTGTGTTGAATGAATAAGTCGACCTTGCAATTATCCTGAAACAGCATCAGCAAGACTACTTGGGTCAAGTTGGTTTAGCAACTTTGAGTGGCCTGTCCACATTGTTGCGCATCAAAGGCCACTTCCCCAAGTCAACGGAAAACCATGGCTGTTCGGCAGAAAACCAGGCCGAGATTCAAGCTGCCGCGGAAAAGAAGAAGCAGGACCTGGCATCATCCCATGAACTTGTTGGAAGAGATATCTGATTAATCTATATTAATCTAATATTCCCAGAAGCCCCTTTCTTTTTCGACGTCCCTGCGCCTAGATCAGTCTGATTGAAGCACCTGCGCCAATCTACTTGAGGTATCCCAAGTTTGACCCAGACCCCCAACTGTCCCATGGAAATTGGGATGAATTGGTTGGGGCTGGTCCCACAGTATTTTGAGCTGTTGACTCGATGGCTGGAGATAAATCTGTTTTAAGGAGTGGAGAGATCCAGGAAACGCATCAATCATGTGACTCGAAGCAAGTTGAAGAACTTTCTAACATGCTCACCTGTTTCCTTCCGGCCAGAAAACCCCTGCAAAAGGTTAGCAACCGCAATTCTAACCCCTTACAGGCTGTAAACTGCTCCAATTCATCCCAATTTCCATGGATGATCATGATTTTCCCTATTGACGGCCATAACCACGGGTGTTCCCCATTGACCCAATGAGTCGCGAGGAGTTGGAACGGCTCCAGCGCTTGCGAGAGCAGAACATCCTCCTCAGGGTGCCCATTTTGCTGTTTTTTGTGGCCGAACATTGGAAGTTTATTTTGACCCACCAATAGATTGCATGGACTGCATAGATTGCATCACAATGTGATATAATGTGCATATACCGTGCATATAATGTGCATATAATGTGCATGTAGTGTGCATGTAATGTGCATATAATGTGCATATAATGTGCATATAATGTGCATATAATGTGCATATAATGTGCATATAATGTGCATATGATGTGCATATGTGATATGTGGATAGATCAAAAAAAGAAGTGTCGGCTGGACTGGCGGTCTTTGGGAGTAGCTTGTTTTTGGACACACTCATGCCGCCAATTGCAGCATGGAGATCCCTACCACTGATACGCCAGGAAAAAGAGCGATTGGCCAATATGGCAGCCAAGGCTGCGTGATGCGCTCTGTCTGGGAAACATAGATGGTCTGGCACGTCCAGGACAAGATGTTTCCATTTGCTTCTTTGAGTTTTTGAAACGGCAGCAGAGGAATAATCGGAGGTTTCAGGTCTTATCCAAGAACTGGTTTGAAAGCAAATTTGCAGCTAAGAAAGGGCTAGTAATAAAGAACCATTCTCTCCTGCTGTTGTTCCTTTAGATCAATCCATTGATTGTAAAGTTTCAACAAATTCATTCAATCCGAGGTATAGATAGGAACTTTCCACACCATACAAAATGATTGGTGTTGAGGTAAATTGAGCGAATTGTCAGTATCGAAGTGAATCAATAGCAAGCAAAAGCACCCGTGGGATTGAACTTTCTGAAAATTGGATGGTGAATGCACAAGAATGACCTCTCCATCTACCGGAAAAACCTTGGGGCTGAAATCTGAACCCATACCGTTTCGATCGGAGAAGTCGACGGCTGTGTTTCTGAAGCAAATGGAGACGTGCTTTCAGCCAAAATTCAGCGTATCCAAGAAAATGATTGTTGATGTAGACAACAAGAATCAGGAGAGTGGCAAATTTTATCTATCATTTCAAACATCAATGTGCTAAACCTGAAATAGTCCTTTCTGCTTGTCACTTGAAACACAAGTTGGAAATGATCAACCTGTTGTCAAAGAATAAACATAGATACCTATGCAAACTATAGTAACTATAGAGCCTGAAACGGGATTCATTGTGACCCTGGTGGTACAAGCCACTGATCGTTTCACGTCGTTTCACGAATTCGCCTGAGCGACCACAAGCCGCTCGGTTGAAAGATGCGACGAGTTCCGCATGGGGCGGAGGATCAGGGGTCGGAATTCTAGATGCAACCAGCAATGGTATCTGAACATCTGACCATTTTCTCGGATGCTCATGAATGATTTATCGGATACATGTTAGTTGTGGACAATGTTAGTTACTCATTATTGCTATCCACAACCAATGTATGTCTAAGTATTCATGAGTATCCTTTTGGATTATGAATTGGGGATTTCCTTGTGGATTACTGTATCAACGTTGTCATATTTTATCATATGCTATCATAAAGCCCAAGAAGAAACCTTTTTTTGTGGGGCTGTGTTTTTTAGTATCCTACCAATGGTAAAAGCGGGGCGGCTGGTTTTTTGGGTATTGTGGTGTTGATCATAAGGGATACAACCAGCAATTCCAATCTTTAGAACTTTGGACTAATCAGACTAATCATGGATGGTCGGCGATGAACTATTGGATCATTCGAGAACTTACAGATACAGCGGTTGAAATTGAGGGAAACATCATCCTGAATTTTTGGGGGTTTTATCATAAATTCTCCAGAGAATCACCAGAAAATTTTGACAAACTCCGACATCCACAGATGCAAAAGGGCGGGTTACTCGGTGACTCGCCATCGCAGCTCTCACAGCATCGCGTTTGTGCAGAATCAGCGGATGTCCAAAAGACGTGGGCCACTTCCAGTTGCTGGATGAAATTTAAGGATTCTTGTTCATGGGCATGCTGGATCCATATTAGAATGTCGTTTCATGATATTAAAATTTCTTCCCCGAAGATAGTACCATTGTGAAGTAAATTCATTTAAAAAAAAAAACGAAACCATTGGACCATTGGCATATTTTGGGGGGACACCAGATACCATAGTAACCATAGTATCTATAGTAAGATTAGTAACCAATAGTAACCAATAGTAACCATAGTAACCATAGTTACCATATTGTCACAATAGTATCGACTTAGTGTGCGACGATGGCATGACGGATGTCACCAATGGCATTGAGATCAACGACTTTGAGGAGGACGCGCAGCAAAAAACGGGGTGGGTCCCGCACCAAATCACTTTATTTAGAACGGGGGACCTGACTCAAAACCAGCAACTGGGATTTGAATGGATTTGATATGTTTTGAAAAAACATCAAAAACAGGGCATGGGTCGAAAGCTCTAATTTTCTCACACTTTACCATGTATTGCTCGTCTTGGTGATATGTTCTTCAAATTCTCAGAGAACACATGTGATGCTCCAGACAGTGACACAGCAACATGTGAAGTGCTGATGTATGTTGCAAAGCTTCGCAATGAAGTGGCTTGTGTTGATCATTTGACACGTTTGCAGCATTTTGCAGCTTCAGCAAGAAACCCTCCAAGCCTGTTGGGAAGAAGTGAACCGGGCCAGGCAGTTCCGCGATTGTGCGTGAACACCAGATAGGAATGCTGGGAATAAAATCAGAACTGGACATGAACATGGGATTAGGTGCGCATCAGAATATGTTGATGGTTTCGAGCTCCAAAATCGGATGGTTTCGGATTCTAAAAGAATTGGTCATCACCATTTTCTGAGTTCAACATGGTAGCCATGTTCCAAGTGAGGTCGGTATCCTTCACCGTGGCAGGAATTGGATACCCAGCTGCAGGAGAGGTGCTTTGACTCAGACACACCCCAGGTGGTAAACCCAAAGAAGAGACTACTTGGGAAGATGATTTTCCTCAAAAGATTGCAGTTTCCGTTCTGATGACCAAGACAAGTTCCCAACTCACACTACAAAACACCATCGAAATTCCACCTTGCAAGGTTTTACTTCTGATAGTCTGCTGTAAATTCCCATCTGGTTGGTGGTTTGGAACATGTTTTATTTTCCATAGTATATGGGATAATCCTTCCCATTGACTCTCAGATTTTTCAAGTTTATTGCACCACCAAGCAGCGTCGATGAAACCAGTCGACATCGAGGCTTTTCTCTCTCTTGGCAGCTCCCCAGGTTGAACTTCTCGCAGGCGTGGCGGAGTTGTGGAGATTCAGCATTAGCCAATACCACAGTATTTTCGGGGGATTTACCATTTATGTCCCCCAGCATTCTAAGGTAATCATATGTGGAGGTTTCCTAAAATAGGGGGCCCATAAAAAATCATCCATTTGAATAGAATTGTCCATCATAAACCATCCATTTTTGGGGGGTAGCACCATGTATGGAAACCCCCATATTTAGATTATTTAGTTCCAATGATGATCCATAAAAGTTGGATGTTCCATAAAAGTTGGATGTTCCATAAATAGTAGTTCAATGATTACCCTCTGGTAAACTAACATAACTATGGAAAATCACCATTTTTCATGGGAACATCCACTATAAATGGCCATTTTCAATAGCTATTTTGACATAACCAGAGGGTATCCCATTTGCTCCAAAATATTCCCATGAAAAGTTGGATTTCCAGCCAGGACAGGAGGATGCAGTGTGGCACCCTCAGAGTTCTTGGAGGCATGGCTCATGTGGGGCAAATGAAAGCACCAGTGAAGCAACTTTAAAGTCTTAATTTCTAGTATTCTAGTACATAGTTTCATCCCCAATTCCAGGATGAAGAAACTAACTTGTTTCTCCCGGATGGTTTCCTGATAGATTCTGATAGATGATGCCTCATAGTTCCAGATTTATTTCCAGGCGTCCCACTGTTCTATCTGCACTCCGAGGTTGGAAACCATTGCTGAGAAGCCTCCTCAGACTGGGAAGGCCACCTGGGAGCCGCCAATTTTGTTCCCTTGCAGTTATGAGTTGGTTTATATACTCCATTAAGCAGTTAAATAAATAAATTAATAAATAAATAAATAAATATATATATATATATATATTGTGTTGATGATGATGATGATGGTGATGATGATGATGATGATGGTGATGATGATGATGATGGTGATGATGGTGATGATGGTGATGACGATGATGACGGTGATGATAGTGATGACAATGATGACGATGATGACGATGATGACGATGATGACGATGGTGACGATGGTGACGATGGTGACGATGATGACGATGATGACGATGATGACGATGATGACGACGATGACGACGACGATGATGACGATGATGATGATGATGATGATAATGATATAGACCATATACTCTAGTTAGCTATGTTAGTTGCAAATCAACACATATTTCCTGGGGATGCTTGGGGGCAACGTAGCTTCAACCCGGCACGGTCCAATTCGACAAAGCATCTTCCATTGCCATACGGGTTTCCTGCAAGACTTGGGCTGTGGAGGTGTGATGTCATGGAGATCATCTGGAGGTTTCCTGAAATGGGGTTACCCCCAGTTCTCATCCATTTATAGATGGGATTTTCCATGAAATAGAGACCAACCAGCGATAAAGGGGATCTCCCCTTTATGGAAACACCCATTTGGGTTTCTTCAAATTTGTTCAATTTGACTCGAAATTTGTGTCAGGTTTTCCCATTCGGTTCCCCATAGAAACGCTGGCTGTGCGCAGGCCGTAGCAGCTGCTCCTGTGAATGGAGGCCTTCTTCGTGCGAGATTCAACGTCAAACATACTGGGGATTTAAGCGTAAAGAATGGAGGTGTCAAGTCCAGGAATCATTGGGGAAACATCGCAGATGGCGAGAATATCCAGATATATCAGATATCACCTTTCTATTCCCCAGATATCCCATAAGATTCCCGATTTTCGATTATGATATCTTCATCCATTTCCACTAGCGACCCCCCACTTCTGGCAGCTTCAGGTGAGACACTTTTAGTGGCGGCCTCAGTGCCGGGACGACTAAGTCGGCTGGTGACTGGTGGTTTCACAGATGGTTCATGTACCCTCTGGTAATGACTAACATAGCTATTGAAAATGGCCCATTTATAGTGGATTTTCCCATTGAAAATGGTGATTTTCCATAGCTATGTTAGTTTACCGGAGGGTACCACTGGAAAATTACATCATCCCACATCATCCAGTCATAATTTGCTCTGATAATCCCACTAATCCCACATCATTCATCCATATTCATCCAATAATCCTCACATGACGATCGTCATTTGCTATGGCATAATCCATTCAAAAATCTTCAGCCCTGACTTTAGACGTGTTTAGAACAACCAGATGATGTTTGACCAGTGACTTGGCCGCCGCTGGCATCCTGAAACATCTCCCACGTCACTTCTATTGCATCTATCTATCTGATTTCAGTATATAAACAGAAATATATGAAAAGAAATAACTATAAGTATCATACATTTGTACTTCACATATTATATCATATATATGTATGTATATATTAACCATCGCATATAATAGATATATATATATAAACATATGTATATATATATCTAATGATACATCACATTGACATGGTGAATCTCATTTGTTCCTGGTTTAACTTTTGAATGACAGCCAGGCCGAAGGCTCCACCATCGAAGTGGTGCTGCTGACGAGTTTTGGAAGAGATCACCCAGAAGTACCCCAAAAAAAGATGCAGAAAAATCGTGTTTTCAGTAGTGAATAAAGTCAAGTTCATGATTTTCGGAAAAAAAAAAAAGAAACACTACTTTTTTCGATATTTCTTCATGATTGGTGTAGTTGGACTTCACCAAGTTCTGCATGTTTTTTGGGGCAAACCTGAATGCAGACGGTTTGAATATGGAGTATGTTCCCTTCAAACAGTTCAGTTTCTGATGGCTGACCTCCAATATGGTTTTGCTGTTGACCATTTGGATCCGGGTTAGGTAGATAGGTGGATAGATGAATAAATGGATACATAGTACATAATACTACCAAACTAGAAACTGACATATTTTTTGCAGGGCATCTAAGATTAGTCGAACATTCTTGAGCAAAACTTCGATCTCTGCTGGGAAATTGGGGCCGCCAGACATTGAGAGACCTGCCAAGACCCTCAGGCCTGTGGATGGTGCCATTTTCAATGGATTGGTTTAGTTGGGGAGAACTTGCAGGAAACCATTGTTGCATAATGAACACATATGTATATAATGATACACATATATATATATATATGTACATTGATATAGCATATCCTCAAACTATGGTTCTTTGGACATCGAAATGATTTTACGACTTCGGACAGCACGACAAAACTCAGCCTATCCCAGATCGACCTGTTTGCAAAGGCGGTGATGTCAGTGATGACGAGACGGAACCACCAGATTCGGAGCTGGTCGGCAAACCCAGTGCGAACAGTGCTCCAACAAACTCAAAAATCTTGGGGATATCTATGGTTATATCAGTTATATCTCGTGTTCTATGCATATATCTGCCGATATGTACATGTAGAATATACATGTGTATATATATATAATATGATATTTGATATTTCTATATATAATGATATATATATAATGATACATGTATATATATATAATGATACATGTATATATATGTATATAATCATACATACATACATACATACATACATACATACATACATACATACATACATACATACATACATACATACATACATACATACATACATACATACATACATACATACATACATACATACATACATACATACATACATACATACATACATACTACATGTATATATATATACATGACTATATTACATATATATATATATATATGTATTACATACATACATACATACATACATACATACATACATACATACATACATACATACATACATACATACATACATACATACATACATACATACATACATACATACATACATACATACATACATACATACATACATACATACATACATACATCATACATACATACATACATACATACATACATACATACATACATACATACATACATACATACATACATACATACATACATACATACATACATACATACATACATACATACATACATACATACACACATACACATACATACACATACATATACATACATATACATACATATACATACATATACATACATATACATACATATACATACATATACATACATAATACATACATACATACATACATACATACATACATACATACATACATACATACATACATACATACATACATACATACATACATACATACATACATACATACATACATACATACATACATACATACATACATACATACATACATACATACTACGTACGTACGTACATACATACATACATACACATACATACATACATACACATACATACATACATACATACACACACATACATACATACATACATACATACACACATACATACATACATACATACATACATACATGCCTGCGTGCGTGCGTGCGTACGTATGTACGTACGTACGTGCGTACATACGTACATAAAGATATATAAATATATATGTATATATAATGATACATATATATATATATGTATATAATGATACATATATATATAATGTTACACATATATATAATGATATATATATAATGATATATATATATAATTATATATATATACATAAAACGATGTATATATATACATAATGATATATATATATACATAATGATATATATATATAATGATTTTTATAATGATTTATATATAATGATATATATAATGATATATATAATGATATATATAATGATATAATATATATATATATGCACGTAATGATATATGTGTATATATACATATATAATGATACATATATTTATGTATGTTATGGATTTTCATTCCGTCGGCTCGAAGGGCGAAGTCTCAGCCGAGCCCACACTTCCAGATGAAGAAGAAGAAGAAGATACGGAAGAAGAGGCCGTTGATCCAAGTGCAGCCCCCGCTTTTTTGGCTGTGTCTGAAATGGGGTATACCCCAAAACGGCGATGTTAAGGGAGAAAATGATAATGAACGATCAAATTTGGGGGCACCCTATTTTCAGACAAACTCAAATGAGACTCCAAATGTTCATGTCCACTAGTAGTTAAGGGTTTGTTCTTTTTTAATGGTTTTAGGTGGAAGGGATTACTCCATGTGGTGATATGTGGTAGTTTGAAACTATACTTGATGACTTGTTCATTTGGTGTTCCTTTCTACACCAAGGAAACCCATTTTGGGGTTCCTTGACCCAATGAGTTGTATTCTATCTGGGATCGGTACTAGGACCACTGGGACCATGATGGAGGAATGCCAGTGTTGACGACCGGTCTCCATGGTTTCAAGTGGTACGGGTAAAATTATCTCACTGTTACAGCCCAACAGAACTGGGATGGATAGCTATTCTATTCTAACTTTGGGGGGATAGCTACTATAGACGACTGTTTGAGACCTTCATTGAGTCTTGGGTGATGAGCGACACACATCCAAGCTGTTGGTTCGAGGAAATCGATGATGATGACGATGATGACGTTTGTATGGAGGCGGAAGCTCGGACAGGGTGTGGGTGTGAACAGCAGGGTGCGGTAAATTATGATCCACGTAGTTCCTTGAGTCAGTTGGAAACCAGGGCATAACAATAATATTGTCATTCTGAATTTGCAGCTTATGCACTTGGATATCCCACCTAAGACAAGCAGGTCTAAGCAGGCATTGTACAGATCCAGATGATTTCGAAGGCACTGGCAGCCTTTCCCTGTTTAACACATGGCCATCACTCGATTCTTCATGACCGGCTTTTTTATCTAGGACCACCCAAATATGGAGTGCAGTCCCCAGGATGTTGTTGCCGTTTGCCTCACTATTTGCCAGGTTTCCAACGGTTCTATGTATTTTCCGGTTGCTGTACCTGTGAGTTTTTTTTTCGAGTCCCAGCAGTGCACCATGGTTCAATTAATCATTTACCCCAGCTGGTTCACATCCTTTCAAAGCCAGTTCTGCATGCGATAAACCCCAGGCATATACGGCTAACCGTTTTTGGTGGCTAGCAACTCGTAAATACCAATTTTGACGGTTTGTAATTCCTATAGATATTATTTAATTTATTTATATATTCAATGGGAATTTCAGGATCCTAAATTGGAGGTACCTACCATATATAAGGCCTATATAAGGCCTAAATTTCAGGGAATATCCCCACAAAAGATGGCCTGGAATATGGTACGTTTACGTACCTCCATTTTAGGATCCTGAAATTCCCATTGATATATCCATATATACATACATATACTATATTATATTATATTATATTATATTACATTATATTATATTATATTATATTGTATTTTATCATATTATGTTATATTATATGATATTATATTATATTTTTTTGTTATATTATATGTCATTTTATTATATTATGTTATGTTATATTTTATTATTTTATATTATATTTTATTATTTTATATTATGTTATATTATAGCTTATTATATTATATTTTATTTTATTTTATTATATTATTTTATGTTACATTATATTTTATTATATTATGTTATATTATATTTTATTTTATTTTATTACGTTATATTATGTTATATTATATTATATTATATTATATTTTATTATATTATGTTATATTACATTTTATTATATTTTATTATATTTTATTTTATTATATTATGTTATATTATATTATATTATATTATTATTTTATATTATATTATTATATATTATATTATATTTTATTTTATTATATTATGTTTTATTATATTATATTTTATTTTATTATATTATGGTTTATTATATTTTATATTTTTTTATTTTATATTGTATTATACTATATTTTCATTATATTATGTTATATTATATTATATTGTATTATTTTTTATTATATTATATTTTATTTTCATTATATTATGTTATATTATATAATATTATATTATATTATTTTTTATTATATTATATTTTATTTTCATTATATTATGTTATATTATATAATATTATATTATATTATAGTTTCATTATATTGTGTTATATTATATTATATTATATTTTATTACATTATGTTATATTATATTATATTACATTATGTTATATTATATTATTATATTATATTATGTTATACTATAGTTTATTTCATTATGTTATGTTATATATTGTAGTATATTATTTATTATATTATATTATATATTATATTATATTATATCATATTATATCATATTATGTATGCACAACCACTTAAAACCCGAGTTTGATGCAGGACGTGATGGCTCAGCCGGTGGACGCTCCTGAAGCACCGAAATCCTCCGGAAGTCAGTCACAGGTGGGGGGTTTCTATGGGGGTTCCCAAAAATAGATCGTTTGTTTATAATTGGAAATCCTATGAAAATATGGATGATTTGAGGTGTATACATTTTAATTTTAGGAAACCATCATATACCCATTAATTCCATATCATCATCATCATCGTCGTCGTCGTCGTCGTCGTTGTCGTCGTCGTCATCCTCATCCTCATCCTCATCCTCATCATCCTCATCATCATAATCATCATCATAATCATACTAATTTCATATAGTCATGAGAGACCAGCGCCCTCAGCAGAAAAAGAACGGTCAAGACTACCTCACTTTCGGCTAATTATATACATATATAAATACTTCTAAGTATGTGTAATATACAATACATACATACATACATACATACATACATACATACATACATACATACATATCATACATACATATCATACATACATACATATCATACATACATACATACATACATACATACATACATACATACATACATACATACATACATACATACATACATACATACATACATACATACATACATACATACATACATACATACATACACACACACATACATACATACCTACCTACCTACCTACATACATACATACATACATACACACACACATACATACATACCTACCTACCTACCTACATACATACATACATACATATATACATACGTGTATGTATATATGTATGCATATAATGCTATATCATAAATTATATGCACACCTGCCCTTTCTGCGAAAGCTTCAAGTCATGCTCCCCAGCCACACGACAGGCACCAGTGGCACCAACGTTGCCGCCACAGCTTCAGCGACTGAAGCAGCTTCTGCAGGCCCTCGACGGATTGCGACCAAATGGTGTCGGATTATGGCAGGTGAATCCCACACCTTTTGGCACTTGAATCTTTTGCGATAGATGAGGAACACTTGAATACGCACTCAGGAACTAGCAACAGATTTGTGTTTTTCTTAGTATTTGATATTGGTAGTATAAACCTTTTGCAACAAATGCAGATGCATACTAACCAGCTAAAAATGAACATATCTGTTTGTTGGGGAAAAAACCGGAGTTAAAAGACTAAATTGAGGATTTTGGCGACAAAAATGGTCGTTGTTCTAAGCAAGAAAGATTCCTAGTTAAGGCACTGAAATCGTGATTTCGGCAGCAAGAAAAGATTGTGTTGGCCCAAAAAAGTTGGATTGAAACAGAAGCGTGTTTGATCTAAACATAGAAAAGCTGGATGTTACAACATGCAGATTGATCCCAAGAAGTGGGAGCCCAAGGAAAGCATGCTAGGGTCCTTGGGCTTTGATGTCTCCTGAATCTCTAGACCCATACAAAGTGGTGCGCCATAGTTAGCTAAATTGGTAAGAACTAGTCAAACTAGGATTTATGGTCGATATATCTGTCGTTGGATTGGTTTATATTAAAACTTTTAACTGGGGAGACATCATCAATAATTACAACATATATATACAATATATATGCATATATATATATATGTATACACATACATATAATACGTAGAGAGAGAGAGAGAAGGAGAGACAGACATACTTCCCCATCCCATTCAGTATTATCTATATATGCACATCATCCATGTTGTATTTGTATCATATTTCCATGGGTCCCATTAAATCACAACATCTCCATGAATTCGCACGAGCGACCAGGCTTCAGGTGGGTTGTGCCAAAGGCGATGGTTCTGGGAAAGCTGATGGTTCTGGGATATGATTTACCCTCTGGTAATTTAACATAGCTATTGAAAATGGCCATCTATAGGGGGTTTTCCCATTAAAAATGGTGATTTTCCATAGCTATGTTAGTTTACCAGAGGGTATGAATGGTGAATTGTCCCTGATTTTTCTGGTAACTTTGGTGTAGGGTAACAGACATGGGAATAAAAAGCTATTCAGAATTGGAGTTGACCATCTGAAATTGGAATTGCAAAATGTTGGTGGTTCGTATTTTGGAAAGAGAATCAGATCCTGACTGAATTTTCAGTATTTTCAAAAACACCATGTAATTTTCACCATTTGAAAGATCACCATCAATGAAAAGATCACCATGGTGATTTCAATTCCTCACGTCCAAACGTTAAAAATTTGATGATCCTCTTGGACTTTGATGAAAAACAGCGATCCATGGCTGCCATGTTTAACCGATTGGGGGTGTGGCTAATAAGGGGAAGGGATAGCCATGTGGTTGTTGAACGGTTGTTGAACTGTTGGGTCCGAATTGGCAAACTATCTCTTTTTTTCGGCCAACAAAAGAGTTTTTGTTGGCTTCGCTAAGCCTGGTCCAACATCAGAGATGGGAATGCAGAGGTTGAGTGGTGGCTCTTGTTGAGTGAGCCCCATGTGTGTTTCTTCTACCAGGTCGCTCAGTGCCAAGTTCATGGTTTTCTGATGGTGTTCTCAGATATCGTAAATATGTTTACGCCAGAAATAACAACGCCATGAGTCAATAAGTAATATTATATAATGTATATACCATATTAATATATGACCATATGACCATCAAATATATTATAGTGTTCCGATGATTTCTGATTTGTTTCTTCTCCCATTCTCGTATCGAAAAGATGTTTATTTATGTATACTACCTCCAGAATGACCATCAAATTGGGGAACATGGTTTCATGGTTTTATGATGTTTTTATGAGCCATGGGATTTAGCAGTTGTCACATCAATTTTCAGAGCCCATCTAACAACCATCAGATACCGCACCCACATAACATTCACCATATTCGCCCATATAACAACACGGTCTCCCAAATATTTTCAGATAACACCCATATAACAACCATATAACACCCATATAACACCCATATCAACCATCAGATACCATAACATTCACCCGTTGTTTTTGGGAGCGCTGAGAAGATGCCATGCACCAGGCGTGACCTCAGCTACCAAGACTTCTTGCGAAGGTGCCAAAAAATCGGCCCAATGTGGATGGCCCCGTGGATGGCTCAATGTTTCAGAGAAAATCCATAGAAAATCATGGATTTACCAGCCAAATCTTTGGAGTTGTCCAGCTTGATCCAGATGTTTCATGATGTTTCATGATGTTTCATGATGTTTCCACAGTGGGTCCGAAAAGTCAAAAGTGGCGAAACTTTATGGCAAAAGCCTACAATTGGTCCATGCAATTGTCATTCAATGTTCCATCCGGATGAATCAGATGATGATCATCCTGCTGTCCAGAGAAATTCTTTATCGCCAATTGTCCCGATGTTTGGGTATACAGTTAATCCAGTACTACATGTCAAAAACGAGCATAAATCCATTCATATTTATACTACGTGTATATATATATATATGCATATATATATATATATACACATACATGCATGCATACGTACATACATACATACATACATATATATACATATATACATAAATACATACATACATACAGACATACATACATACATACAGACAGACATACATACATACATATTTATATATATATATATGTTTTACAGTCTGCGTAAATTATAGCGAGACGATTAGGTATAGTAACCCACAAGAGACTATCTTAGAAGCATTTGACTGTTCTATCTTTTTGGGGGCTGCTATAAACCACAAAATACTTGCTCAGGGGGCTTTCCACATTGTGTACCTTGCGGAAGTTCTCATCACATGGCCAAACAATGACATCATGATCTTGGCTCTCATCAACTGCAGAGGAAAATGATGTGAAGACAACAATGATGTTCCAGCGATAAGTTGCCAAGAAAGTCCAAACATATTGATGTTGGACCACAAAAACTGCGCGCTTCCACCTTTTTTAGTGCCATGGAGAGTAGGCTAAACGAGTCTCCTTGCCAAGTGGACGGGGTGAAACCGTAGCGGTCTCGCATTCTGGCACAACTGCTGACTTGAAAATAGCTGCACGACAGTCCTTGGGGCAACCATTCCTGAGGCTTGCTGCGCCTGACAGACGTCTTTTAGATCCAGCAAACTCTCTTCGACTTTCTGAGCTTCAAGATAGAGACACCATTGCTGCTGTTGCACAGCAGCCAAAGATAGCAACAACAGGCGAATCGTTTACTTTGTGGTGTGATGGAAGTGATGGGGCGCTCCAGGGAGTGCGGGCGACAGCCCCAGAGTCCAAGATCAGTTCAGTAAGGTTCAGCAGATTCGCGGCACATTCGCTGCTTTTGCTGCGATAGTAGGAGATGGAGATGGAAGTGGGGCAATCGACACTTTGGCAGTGACAGCTTCCGAATCCAAGGTCAGCTCAGGAACGTTCAGCAGGTCTGTGACACATACGCTGCTTTTGCTGCGATTTTGGCAGATGGAACTGTGCTGACCTCGGGCGCTCCAGACCATGGTGGTGACAGTTCCAGAGTCCAGGATCAGTTTCTGGTCATGTAGACGCATGTGAAATAAAAATTTGAAATGTTGAAAAGTCTTTGATCTGCATTCTTTGTGTGTTCCCGTGTTCCCCTTGTTCTCAGTACCCGGGTGAACGGTTGGTTAATGGATTGAATTCATTGCATCAATAGATGTGTAGTGACCTGTTGGATATCTAAGATTGGCTACGACTGTTAATTGATGTTGCACATTGGAGCTGCTTTTGGCGCTCCAAGGACATTTTTCTGGTCGAGATCAACCATGAAATGCTGTGGAAAAAATGATGTAAAAATAAGTTGTTGGTCTATTCATCCATTCTATTTCCGAACCCACCCCAGAATGTGCGTGCTTCTGATTTCCAGATACATGCTTAGTCCCAGAATTGCTTGAAGCTAACATCATCATCATCATCAGCATCATCATCATCATCATCATCATATTCATTCATTAATTCATTCATTCATGGAGAAAAAACAATAGTTTCCAGTGTTTGCAACCCAATGATTTCTGTCAACCATGATTCATCTTCATTGGAAATGCCATAAAATATCATCAAACAATCCATAAAATATCATAAAATCCCATGGATTCCCCATAAAATGTCATAAATTCCTATTGGAAATCTCATAGTCTACAGCACTGAACCGGTCAGGCTTTGCGAAGTTGCGGCGCAGCATGAGCCTGAAGCGGCTAGGAGCAAAGTGTGATGCCGGCGCCGTTGACGCGGAGACCCTGGACTGGATATAGGGGGGTCCATATGGGTATAGATCAATACCTATTAATACCATTTTTAGGGGGATGAACATCCATTTACCAGCTATTTTGATGTTCACCAGGGGTACAAGGTTTTGACACACTGCCATATATCTGGGTAAATAAATAACGGAAATCATCCCCAAATGGCCGCAAGATTCAGGTTAGTGAAATTTGATCATTGGGTTTCCATATATGGTTATTTAACATACTTATGGGAAATTCTATATTTTTCATAGGTAAATCATCATCAAATATCATCTATAAATGGAAAAAATGGAACTTTCCATATACGGAGGATCCCAAAAGCTGGATGGTTTATGTCATGGAAATTCCCATCTATAAATGGATGAGAACTGGGGTACCATGACGAAACGGAAACCTCCATATAGGCTTAGTAAGTTTTAACCGAAAATATGGAGAAAACATTAGATATAGTGTTGAAAACATTAGATATGAGAAAACATTAGATAAGTTTTATCCATATTTTAATTGATAAAGGATGGTTGATGAGTGTAGTGCGTTCTACTTGTCATTTTCGGGAGTGTTTTTCAAACTGTGAGATTTCACCATCGAAAATGGGTGATTTGATCCGGTTTAAACCATCAAAAGCCACAAACCCAAAACGTGTCATACTGGGAAAGGCATAGTGGGAATAATAGAAGTGAGAATTATGCTGAGAATATACTTGAGGGAATTCTGGGCAAATCGCGCCATTTTGGGACGTTTGTATGAAGATGATACGGGAGATGGAAACCGGATGTATGTGGGTTATCCAACCCAGATTTCGACCTTTTTGAAATAGGGCTGTTTGGGTATCCTTTTCCCACGAAGCATGGGAGAACTCTGGTATTTTTCTTACGACAAATCGGTAAATTCTGGTATACCAAAGCTGCCTCAAAATATGGTTTGCAGCTTCGCAGGACCTCATTGGGGGCGATGTGTTCATGCTGGATTTGGGGGTTTGAACCACAGCTATACTGCAAATATGGTACTATGTGGTTCTGAAAATATGTTACCTCATTCCATCCACCGGTGAATCGTTAGTTTTTCCTGCTCAAATCGCTATACTTTGGGGGTGTCCATTTTCAGACTCAGCCAAATATCATCAAATATATCTGTTGGTTAATTTTCTTTTATTCCACGAAATATCCCCAGTCTATCCCCATTAAATATCCATGATATCCAGGTTACCAGGTTGCGATTCCGATGGCAGGTCCTTCACGATGAATCCCATGCACGTCTTGAGCTCAGTTGAAACGACCTCAGTGTATGGCCATTGGATGGGGAAAATCATGATTAACCTTGGGCCAGATGGGGAAAATGATAGTGATGAACTATTGAATTGGGATGTTAAGGTTCCAAAGTCTGAGACAAAGCTAGTCCCTGCAGGTTTGTGAAGGGTTGGATTTGCTGGACGTCACTTGTCTAACCTGACTCTGAGATCGGAGTAGTGTCAGCTTGGACCCCCTGCTGTCCCAAAAGATCCCGAAGAAATTGAAAGATCACTCTGGTTATTTAACATAGCCATGGAAAATTGCCTATTTATAGATGGTTTACCTATTAAACAAAATGTGATTTTCCATAGCTATGTTAGTTTACCAGAGGGTAAACATCCAAAACTGCAAAACTCTGAGAATTTCCCGTTGCTAACGGTTTTCAGTTCACACCAAAATCGCTGGTACATACAGATCCCCAACCAGAATTCCCCGTTGATGGTTAAATCCTTGCCATGAATAAAAACCAGGAATATAATATTGGGTGTATTATCCCATACTATCCCTATTATTGGCAATATTATTGTAGAATATTATCCCATATTATCCTATTATTGACCATATATTATCCCATATTATTGGGAATATTATCTCATTGTAGATGGGAATGTTGTAAAACCATTAGTCTCCTCGATATTATTGTGCGTATTATCCCATTAATTATCCTATTATCTCACTCTAATCCCAATAAAAATCCATTTCTACCAGCAATTCCGCTATAATCCACAATAATTCCCACCATTATAATTTGTCATATTATCATATGATTTATCCCACGATAAAGCCAATATGACTATAATTTTACCATTCTAATATAGTTAGCATATCCTATCAGTATGATACATATAACAGAACAACAGTTGGTATTAATTATTCCATTTTAATCCCATGTTATTGGGGGAACATTATCCCATTGATACATAATAACATTAGTTATATGGAATCCCATCAGTATCCCATTGATACATACATATGTTTATTAAACTTATATCCCATGGATACTTTTGATACATATATATATATACGTATATAGTATGATATGTATATATATATATATGTATATTTATATAGAGATAACTTATACCCACTATAATCCCATGATATTCCCATTGATCAACCCATTGATCCCCAGGTGCCACAGCTTTCGCTGCGCGCCCGGCGCCATGCCGTCGCCTCGGCCGCGCAGCGCCGCCTTTCGGCGGCAGCCAAGGCTGCAGCGGCGGCGGGCACCGTGGTGATGGTCTGGGAGCCCAACGGAGATACGGAGATGGGGATGTGGATATCGTTGGTTACCCTCTGGTAAATTAACATAGCTATGGAAAATCACCATTTTCAATGGGTAAATCCACTATAAATGGGCATGTTCAATAGCTATGTTAGTTGGTGGTTGATTATGAAAATTGGTGGCTTATTCCAATAACTCTGGTTTATAGATGATTATAGTACTTATAACATAACTATAGTCAAGATATCCTGGTTGGTTATATGATTTTGGCTATGATGATGGTTATATAATGATGGTTATAATATATAGGTGGTTATAATATATAGATGGTTATAATGGTTATACTAGATATAGATATAATGGTTATACTCATAATAGTACTATATATAGATGGTTCTAATGATTATCCATGATGATACTAACTATCATTTTAACCATATCCTAGATACTATAATGATAGATGGTTATAATGGTTTTATTGTTATACTATATTTTGGCTATGATAGGATATGGTTGATAATAATGTAGAGGTACATCAAAATAGGTTAGAAATGGGATGGTAAGAGGTTTAGATGATTTTATATGGCCTAAGAGTCTATATTCTCATCATATTCGATATGTAGATACTCTGGGAGAAACTCCGAACATTGAGACATTGACATACGGCCCACTTATCATAAAGAAAATGTATAACTCCGAGAACTAGGTTATCCTTGAGCATTAATAACATTATAATTGGGTTGTAGTGTCTGATGGTTGAGGTTATTTACCCTCTTGGTAATTTAGCATAGCTATAGGAAACGGCCAATTTGTAGCAGATTTTGCTGTTAAAATGGTGATTTCCATAGCTGTATTAGTTTACCAGAGGGTATGTAGAACATTCCATGATTGGAAGATATTCCAATGGATGTAAACTGTAGAGTTTTATATGGGCAAAGAGTTTATATTCCGATAGGTGCTGGGAGCAAACTAGAACATGGCCAAACTACAATAATGAAAATTAAATTAATATACTATAAGCCGGTTGTGAAGCCTGCAGCTGAGTTGCACCAACTAAGTTTCACCAAAAATGATGAGCAACCCAAATGGAGATGGTTCCAAACTCACAAATCCGGCCCATGGCGCCGTTACAAAACCGAAAAATGTATTCATCAATAGATCAGTTGACATAATGGTTTCATTTGAAAAGTGTCATACTTATTTCACAGTGTATCCATGTTTAAAATGATCCAGTTCTTTTACATCATTTGACAGAATTGACATTTTAGGAACAAGTGAATGGGGTTTTATTCCCACTATAGTTGGGTAAACGAACTAGTGAAGTGAAACTCTTGGGAATATGGTCCATTTATGAGTACTGGGAGCCATTGTGCGTGATCAACGTTTTTTAAGTGGTTCCAACATGGTTAGTTGTTTAGTAGGTCCCTTGGTCGCCCTCATGTTTTAAAGATCAGAACCCAAAGAAACTATGGATTCGCTGGGGAAATCTTCCAGGTTGGATGATTTTGACCCCAGAGTACAAGAAACCCCATGGAACCCATTTTTTTTGCGTATGTTGCAGACCACACTTAGTCATGCGTTTGGCTGATGAATTTATGAACGGTGGCTGCAGATGCAGCAACATCCTATTTGGACGATGCGACAATGCATAGAAATAGCCAAATCGAAAAGTCATCCAAGCTCTTGCAGGTTTTGCGCCCTAGTTTACGCCAGCAGAATCAGCAAAGTTGTCAGAAAAGTCACTTGAAATGGAAAGTGGAACCCATGAAGATCAGTCAGTTTCCCACCACAATTCAACCAAATTGCCCAACCAAAAACAACTCCACTGGATCTCAGGCAGATGATTTACAAACCCTCTGGACCCGCGGTTTTCCCAGGTGGATGATGAGCATGAGGAGAAGGTGTCGGCAGAGAAGATGAAGGCGCTTTCACCTCAGATCTTTGATTCAGATGTCTTTTGCGCAGGATTGAAGTGGTAGATGTTGCGAAGGATGTTTGGTGGAAAAAAAACGCTGTTTCACTGTTTCACTTTCATTTTCTGGTGGATTTCTGGTGCGCCAGGAGTGTCAAGTGGCACAGGCGGCCCACCGCACCGGGTGATAAAATCAGCCACCTCAGCACGATTTCGCCTTGACGATGGAAATCATTACTACATTATCTGGTTGGTGGTTTGGGAATAATAATAATAATAATAACAATTATTATTATTATTATTTTTTATTATTATTATATGGGAATATTAGTCAGTTGCCATTAGTCAGTTGGAATATGACACTGGGTTTTCTCAACATGTTTTTCCCATATATTGGGAATAATCAGCCCAACTGACTTTCATATTTTTCAGAGGGGTAGGTATACCACCAACCAGATTATGATGATGCAGATGCTGAAGTAGTACGGCTGAATTGCGCATGGAAAGAGGCATGTAAAATGGTCGATATTGTTGTTCCGATAGCTGCCGAACGTTTTGCCAGACAAGCTCGCGCTGATTTGCTATAGTGTTATGAATATCACAAGCAAGTTCATCCAACCAGGGAAATCATAATGATTCATGATTTTGGGCGCATGCCGCATGCAAATCCACATCCAATTAGAATCAACAGTCCATGGAAACCATTAAATTCGAATGATTCTTGTTGGAAAAGTCAAGACCATCAATCAAAAACATTCAATTCATGATACTACTTTAAGTATTCATCATAATTATATGTAATCATAATTATTATTATAAATAATATAATCATATGTTTAGTTTAAATGCATGGCTCACTAGTTAGATCAACCCAGGCGCCCGAGCTGGCCGAGATTTTCTCTGACGCCGCCACCTGCGTGGTGCTGCTGCGGAGATATTTGAGCCAGGCATGGTACACCTTGAATGGAATGGAAGAATGGTTAAAGCTTGAAAGAACTCTATAGAATCAAAATAAAAATCGCTGTTATCATTTCTCTGTATCTATGAAATGAATAAGATTTCTGGCCATGTTTTGTATTTGTTTAAATGGCTGTGTTTTTTCTGGCAATACCAAAGAGTGAGTCCCGTCAGAGTATTTGCCCCGCGCGAGGCACAGTGGGTTGGCACCCTGAATGGTGCACTGATCTTCGAGAAAGACGGAGTGCTATATCCACTGTGCCGCTCTCAGATGGAAAAAGCGTAGTCTCATAGTGGAGGAAAGTGCCCCTATTTCATGGCCTTGACGAAGTATGGAAAATTATAAGATCATGACATGATGCTGATGATGATGATGATGATGGGGAGGAGGAGGAGGAGGAGGACGATGACGATGATGATGACGATGATGATGACGATGATCATGATCATGATCATGATCACGATGATGATGATGATGATGATGACGAGGAAGAGGATGATGATGATGATGAGGAGGAGGAGGAGGATAATGATGACCAGGAGGGGGAGGAGGATGACGATGATGATGACGATGATGCTGATGATGATGATGATGATGATGATGGGGAGGAGGAGGAGGATCATGATGCTGATGATCATGATGATCATGATGATGATGAGGAGGAGGAGGAGGATGATGATGGTCATGATGCCGATGATGAGGAGGAGGATGATGATGACAAGGAGAAGGAGGAGGAGGATAACGATGATGATGACGATGATGATGATGATGACGACGATGACAATGACGAGGATGATGATGACGATGACGATGACGAGGAGGAGGAGGAGGAGGAGGAGGATGCTGATGATGATGATGACGATGACGAGGATGATGATGATGATGATGACGACGAGGAGAAGGAGGATGATGATGATGCTGATGATGATGACGATGATGACGATGACGAGGAGGAGGAGGATGATGATGCTGATGATGATGACGATGACGAGGATGATGATGACGACGAGGAGGAGGAAGGGGGAGGAGGAGGAGGGTGATGCTGATGATGAGGACGATGACGATGACGAGCATGCTGATGATGACGACGAGGAGGAGGAGGAGGATGATGATGCTGATGACGATCATGATGCTGATGGTGCTGGTGATGCTGATGCTGATGCTGCTGCTGATGGTGACAATGATGGTGATCGTGATGCTGATGCCGATGGTGATGTTGATGATGGTCATTAAGCGATAGGTAAAATCTCATGTGATGAAACATGCGATGGGTTTCCCAGCTTTGAACTGCGTCGGTGAAGGCAAGGAATTTTCGGGGTAGCCATTTTGTTTGCCTGCCAAATCATCGGGTTCAGGAGGCATACCTCACATTTTACAACCACCGCTGTTGACCATCAACCATGTACATCCATGTAACAGCTTGGTCCCGCAAATCCAAGTTGCAGTAGCCATGATTCACCCATTTTTCTCAGAGATTGTTCTACATCGTGCTTATAACATGTAAATACATAGAACAAAAAGTGGGGGTGTTTATATGTGTTTATGTCATATTCTGTTTTTCTATAGGTTTACCATTAAAACCATATCACCATATCACCATATTGCCATATGTCATATTCTGTTTTTCTAAGGTTTACCAACCAAAAATCCATATCACTGATATCACCATCATTTTTGTGAAGCGGCACCGGCATGGCCCAGGGAGACCACCACACCTGTGCGCGAAAGCGCCACAGCCGGCGCCGAGTTGCTGAGCCTGGGGATCCCAGGATACTCCCAGGGCGATGAGGGACTCCATGACATGTTTTACCAGTAAACATACCAAAAAAAGGATGGAAAATCACCATGTTGATTGGGCAAAATGGAAAATCACCACTTTTAATGGGTAAATCAACTATTTTTATGGCAATTTTCAATAGCAATCGCCATAGAACTAGTTGATTTACCCATTAAAAATGATGATTGTCCATCGTTTTTTTGTATGTTTACCAAAGGGTAAACACCTGATGATTATTTACTCATGATTTCCCTTTGAAAGTGTTTATTCACATCTAAAAAAAGAACATCTAAAAAATCCCTTTTTAGGGGATGAACTATTTAAGATTCTCATGAATCATTTATGTGTATATATGTGTATATTGAACTATTGAAATTGTTTGGAGATGTTAAAATTGAACTTACGAAAATTCTACTCATGATTTACCTTGGTTCCTTTTTTGGGGGATGGAAACATGAAATGCAAATCATCCCATGAGGATTGGATGGATCAACTCACGCCTCAAGGCGCTCACTGGAAAATCGGTCATTTGCACACTTTACCTATTTGGAGTGTTGAATTTCCAGCCAGCCTGTTGGTGTAAATGGTCCGTTTCGTGTATCTCACCAATTCTTTGTTGATGCAAACCGCATTAGATATACATAGTACTGTACACTGATGATTACATAAATATACATAAATATAGATCATACCCATCATACCCCACATGGATATACCTATATGCATTCCCATTTTGATGCATGCTACAGCCATCTTTTCAGTCAGCCCAAAGCGTTGCAAAGCGAGGTCTGGGTTCCCTCTTCGCGATCGCTACCTTCCATGGACACCTAGGCTGTCAGATGCAGCGAGTCATCGATATGACCCACCAAAAATGGGGATATCAATGAGGAGATGGGGGGTTCCATAAATGGGGATACCCAAAAATGGATGGTTAATTGGGAAAATCGTACTAAAATTGATGATTTGGGAAAGCATTTCCCATCAGAAGTAGATGTATCACCATATTCTCCGGGAAATGAGGCTGTGGGATATGTGCGATTTGGTTTGACCCATAATGGGGAAATTGTATTACAATGGTGATAAACCAACAAGAATGATGGTTTAACCAATACATATTCATTGAAATGGTTAGTATAATCTGGGTGAATTGACTAGATGCACACTTTAGTACTAACTAATATGTTGCTGAAAGTGGTGCATCAGGGTCTCTAAGATTGGCCAATAAAGATTGTGCTTTCACCCGAAAAGATTGTGAGAATGATCCGTACATGGGTGCTGTTTCATTGCCAGGTTGGATTACCAGAAGGTAAAATTAACCCAAAAAATTGGGTTAAACCATGGTTGAACCATAAAAAAGGAGCTGTGAACCCACAAGCAGTTGTTTTTTAAGGCTATTTAAGGCGTGCTTTCGAATATGTGCCCCCTTGGTCTCTGAGAAAAAACATAACTCATCCAGGCAGTGCGACACCAAAACTGCTAAAAAGCCAGGGAACTCAGGAGACCTCGTGATTTCTGGTGACTTCAAAGACTTTAGGGCAGTCACCATAGGAATAGCTTGATCCGGTTGTATCCCATCATATTCCTATGGCACTATGGTTTGTTTCGTGCCAGTTCCATTGCGCAAGATCCACCTTTAGGCCGAATCCTCCAGCTCTGATGCCCTTTTCCCATTGGTTTATTGATGAGTAGAGAGGCCGCCCCGGCCATGGGCGGCTGAAATGGAAAAAACAACACTTAACCTTCTACTTTTGCTCGCTTCTGGATGTGTTTTGGATATTTTTCCATATTTTTCCCACGTTTTGGTGGTTGAACCCTCCGGCTGATGTTCCAATGCCGAGGTTTGAAGGCCAAAAAGCTCCCACCATCGCGGCATCTCCTGGAGCTCGCTGATTATCTCTTGGGCAGGCCATGTGTGAGATACTCTCTCTACAATACAATAGCTCAATATATCCATGTATACATGTACACATATTGTGAATACTGTATATCTTACATATATAGGTAGATAGCTAGCTAGCTAGCTAGCTAGATAGATAGATAGATAGATTAGACAGATTAGATAGATTAGATAGATTAGATAGATTAGATAGATTAGATAGATTAGATAGATTAGATAGATTAGATAGATTAGATAGATTAGATAGATTAGCTAGACTAGCTAGATTAGATAGATTAGATAGATTAGATAGATTAGATAGATTAGATGGATTAGATGGAATAGATGGAATAGAATAGCATAGAATAGAATAGAATAGAATGATAGATAGATAGATATATATATATAGATAGATAGATATGTATATATATATGTGTATGTGCCACTTACAGATGGGAAGAACAGATGCCATCCTCCTAATTGATCCTCAGAATTGTTGGTTTTCAGAGAGAGTCATTTTCCAACCCATATTTTGCAGAGTTGGAAGGATTACCAGCGTTCAAAGTAAAGATGGCCCTAGACTTGGATGATTTGATGTTTAACAAATGCTGCGCTCCAATGGGCCATGGCCAACTGTGATTGTTCGGGTCTGAAGAATTTTTGAGCGGTTCAAGGGCGGTTCAAGGGGTATGTTTTGGACAGATATTTTATCGGTTTTTTGAGTAATTCATCGAATAAATAGAATGTTGCCGCAAAATCCAGCAGTTGTATCTTTGGAATATGTTCCCATACAAGAATCCTCAGCAATGGACAACGTGCCATGGTTATGGTTTGCTGACCATTCCAATTTTTTCTCCAAAACGCAACGTTCGCCAGGCGTGACACCTGCTGCCTTTTGCTCAGTTCCAGCAAAGCCAAAGAGGTTTGGCAGTTTTGCTTGGAATTCTGGGGAATTGTTTGGGACGTCTTCGTTTTGGTTTTCCCAAACACAAAGCCGCGCGAAACCATATGTTTTCCTCTTAAAAATGTGGGGACATGAAACTATGTTATCGTGTTGTATCCTATGTCATGATCTATTGTGATAATTCTGGAAACCTTTGAACGCTGACTGGTGTAGATTCTTGGATATCTCCCAACCCAAAAAGGGTGAAATCACCCGTCTACTCGCCTTCTTTTGTTTACTTTCCAGGATCATCCCAGAAAAATTGGAAGTCCTGAAGAGTTCCAGTTGAGTTCCAGATTCCCAAAATACTCACCATTCACCATTTGATGTGGTAAGCCCGACAGTAAACCATCTCCCAATGAATACATGGAATACATGTTACTTAGCATTTGGATGGTATTTTGACGAAATAAATGCCCCAAAAGTACAGGTGGTTATTGTTTTGGGTTTACCCCTTGACTGTAACAAAAACCGTTAATGATCCCGTGTTTTCAACTGTGGCAGGTATCACCTGCACGACCTTCGCGCACAGTGCTTCCCAAGGCAACGGATGGCCATTTTTTATGGAATGGTGAGATCTTAAAGATGTTTGAAAGCAACCAATTTCCCACATTGATGTAGATTATGTGCGGGATTCGATAAAGGTCATTCAACATCCAATGTAAAGGATGCGGGCGTTATGGGTGGCTGGTGAAATGGTTCTCCCAATTTACCTTGATCCCCAGCTTCCCGACTTGAGGATCTGATGATCTGAGTTCCCTTTGGCTATGAACATCTATAAATAATTTTGAAGCACAGAATGGTTGTAGCAGCTGTGAGCACCTAATTGCAGATATATACTAAAGTATAATCTATATGCATACACATACATACATACATACATATATATACATATACACATATACGCATATATACATATATACATTTATACATAGATACATATACACATATATACTGTATATTTATATATATATATATATGTATGTATATGTATATATATATGTATACATATATGATTTAATTACTATACTATATACTGTAATGATTAAGTATATACTCTATCATCAACATCCGTGTGTGTGTGTGTGCTGTATAGACATGGACACTCTCCCTAGGGACGCGGCGAGCCAACGCTGGTGACTCAGGAGCCGATATATCGGATAAACGGTAAACATACAAAAAGATATAGAAATCCATGGTTTTCACCAGGGAAATTGATCTAGAAACGGTGGGTAACATAGAGTTTTCTATGTTCATTGACTGGAGGTTTATCAAGTCAAAAATCTGATGAGTAAATCCAATGAAATCCATAGCATTTTACTATCAATGAACATCATTGGATGGTTGGTGGAGCTGATGGTAAATTGGGATGAGTCACATAAGATGAATTGGTGGTTTGCAACTGGATTATCAACCAAAACTGTCGACTATACCCATGTTTGCCCTTCAATTATTGGCATTGTTTATTGGGTTTATCATATTGCCAGCCATAAAAACTGATCGTCTGGCGTTTCGTGAACGTGAAGGAGCTTCTTTAGGTCATCTTTCGCAGCGGGACAGTAGTGAAGTATGCATGGAGCTAGGGATGCTAGCGATGAATATCCCCAGAAAATGGGGAAGAAAACGTTTTGAGGCCAGATTTTGAGGCCAGAAAATGTCTGTTGTCGCCAAAACATTAGCGGCTATACTTTGAACATCGACTAGGGATATACCGTGAATATTTCAGGATGGCACACCCGATTGTTTGGCAAAGGAAATAGCCTGATGCCCTGAGAGGCAACTGATGTGGTTGGGCTGATATTGGGAATCTGACGACTTCTTCAACCTACAAGATTGCGGTATAAAAATTGGTAGATGGATGGAGATCAACCAACATCACTGAACAAGATTTGGCTGGATTGAAAAGAATTCTCACGTGCTCCATCTCCACAAGAAATGATCCAAGTGCACCTCAAATATTGGTTGCATAGATGCTCCAGTTGGGTAAGATATGGCTTAGTCTGAAAACAGGTTCCCCAAAACTTGATGCGCCATCATATTGGTTCCATAGACATGTGCGTCATGGCTTTTTGGGAGGAATACCCCATTTTCAGACATACTCAGATATGATCATATGTCCCATAGAATGGGGATTTTCCATATGATCCCCATCAACCATTTTGGAGAAATACCCCAAATGGCCCATTCTATGGTTGATTTATTTTCCACCTGGGCTGGTCGATACATTCCTACCCTGTCCGAGGCCTTTGGAGGAACTGAAATGTTTGCCGGGACAGGCAGGGTCAGCCAGGATGGCAGGGGAAAATGATGGATTTATGATGGATTTATGATGGTCCTATGATGAATTTATATTTTATGATGAATTATGATGAATTATGGGGGTTTATGACTATTTGTGAGGATTTATATGGAATTCTGATGTTTTTTTCAGGATTTATGATAGTCTTTTGGGGATGTCAACCACCAACAGGATCTGACCAATGAGGGGTTCAGCAACAATTTTGCCAGAGTTTTGCCAACATTTTATAGCCAAAAAGGCCATGACCGGTCGGTATTGGTGAGCATCCTTTAAAAGGAAGGGGGGTTCTAGATAGGTAAGTTGCTTTATAACAATCGTGACTAGGATTTCTGGTGGATATATCATGATATATCTATAGTCAAAATTGGGTTGTACGCAAACTTATATCTCGGGGACCCTTCCTGTAGCTTGGATTTATTCGAAATTCTCCACACCTGAGGGTCGAAGTCCTCCCCCCATCTGTGGGTCGACTGGGATACACCATAGGCACCCAATGAGTTCAGGATTGCAATGTGGCACAGTCCATGTTATTTTGAAGATCTTGATGATGCTTTGACACCAAGAAAGTTGAGATGAACTCTTCTAGTCTTGGAATCTTTGGATTGGACCCATATCCATGGATATACATATATATATATACATATATATATATTATTTATACATATATATATATATGCACTATATATCCCATATTTGTTCAAGTGCTGGCACTGAAGTGGCCAAGTGTCTGCTCAGGTAGAAAGTGATGAGAGCGAAGTGGAGAACGAATC